GCACGGGGTCCTCATGAATCAGGATCAACTCGAGGGCAACTGGTTTTTTTGGTTTGCATCCTTCCCCCACCCACGGTCACTTAAGAAGGTCTGCGACATATATAGGGCTAGAGTCTAGGTATGTCAGTTAAAAATTCTCTTCAGTGGCTAGTAAAAGAGACTGAAACTAACACAAACAACAAAGAGACCGAACAGACTATAAGATGAAAGAGAAACGTGTATGTAAGAGTAACTTACATCAATGGCTCTCACGTAAAAAGCGCCCAGGAGCAGACTATTCAGAGCTGGAATTTTGGCTCCACGGTGTCATCGGGAACCCAGCTCTTTCTTTCTGCTCCGCCATTCTTAGCTTGGGCCTTGCTTCCATTTTCTCCATGACCTCATGGCCCAAGATGGCTGCTGGAGCTGCAGCTGCCACATCCACGTTCCAGGCAGGAAGCAGAAAGGAGGGGACAGAGGGTAAAAACAGTCCCCAGCCAGTTTATGGACTGTGCGCCTTTTAAGAAACCTTCCCCAAAGTCTCACCCAGCAACTTCCACTTCCATCTGATTGGCCAGCTCTTAGCCACATGGCCATCCTAGCTGCAAGGGAGGCTGCGAAGTGCAGCCTTTTCTCTGGGTATATTGCTACCAACCAAACCCATTACCGTCGAGTTAATTCCAACTCATAGTGACCCTACAGGACACACTAGAACTGCCCCATAGGGTTTCCAAAGAGCGGCTGGTGGATTTGAACTGCTGACCTTTTGGTTAGCACTGCGTCACCACTGCGCCACCAGGACTCTATATTGCTGCCCGGGTTCTGATATTAAGGAAGGCAGGGGAAATGGACCAACGTGGGCAGCTGACAGACCTCGGGACTCCTACCTTCCCAGCTGCACAAAATGGCTCTTCTCACCTAAGCCCAAGGGGTAAGAGTTGCAGTTACCGAAAAAAAGAAATCAAACCCCCTGGCCATGGAGTCAATTCTGACTCACGGCGACCCCATGTGTTACAGAGTAGAACTGAGCTCCATCGAGTTTTCTTACAGAATCTTGCATAAGAGGAGGAAGGGGGAGAAGATCACGAGGTTTTTCTCCTGTGGAGCTGCAAGGTGGATCAAACCACTGACCTTTTAGTTAGCAGCTGAGCACAAGCCATTTGCGCCACCCAGACACCTTGTCGCAGCCACCCAAAAAAAATCAAACCCATTGCCATCGAGTTGAT